TGGAGATATTTAGGTGCTTTGTGGCAACCTTTCACACTACAATAAGCCTCACAAAACTCAAGAAATACAATAGGAGAGAAAGAGAGAGAAATTTCGAGCTCTAAGGAGTTTTGGACGAAATTTTGTGGCCCTGAGAACTGTGCCCGGGATGTCTATTTATAGACATCAAAAAGTTGTCAGAACGGCCCGTTCTGAATCTGACCGTTCTATGTTAATTTTGTAACCGGAACGGCCCGTTCTGAAACTAGAACGGCCTGTTCCAGAGATAAGATTAACACATGATTGACTAGACTGGAACGGTTACTCCAAACAAGGGTTTTTAGGCCTTTTAATAACTTGGAACGGCCTGTTCCAGTTTAGGAACGACCCATTCCAGTTAAGGTTTTAGCCCCTTTTTAGGAGCTTGGAACGGCCCGTTCCAAACTAGGGTTTTAGGCCCTTTTAGGAACTTAGAACGGTCCGTTCCGGTTTTGCAACAGCCCATTCCAGGCTACTAAAACTAGCTTGTTTGGGCTTTTAGGCCTCCTGATATCATGTCCTGTTATTTCCAAGCTTGAGAGCTCCATTTCTTTCATGATGGCATCCATTTCATTGCTCTTGTGGGTCCAAACGAAATTGGGTGTCTACAATCATGTTGAGAGCTCTTTTATATTCGTAGACGATGCCTGAGTAGTCTTTTAAGACTTGATTCTTTAAGTGCCTTTATGGAAATCTTCGTCTGCCTCTGTTGGTCCATTTGTGTCTCAAGTCGTGATCTTTGTCTGAGTCTTTGATGTTGATGTTTTGACTTTATTTTGGTCTGATCATTATGATAGATGGACTGACTTTGTTTCTGTCTTGAATACCTTTCAATATGATACATAGTTTACTTCTTTTTGGTCAATGCTTCGTCCGATTTTCTCTTTAGATTGTCCTTGACACATCTTCATCTAACACTTGAAGTTTTCCTCTTTATCTGATTTTGGAGTAGGAAGTGGCACATGCACATGCTCTATTCTTCAGTTTTCCTGTACTTATGTTTTTCTGGAGCATTAACACGCTTGTTAGAAATAAAAACATGTATTATATTTGTTTCATTCAAAACCTTGTTGGGAATTTCTTCGTCTGACTCAACATTTCTATCATCTCTTTTCATGTTATTCCTTAACATATTGAAAGAATTAAAGCTTATTTGATACTTCCAAAGATAAAGGAATGAGACTTTGCTTTTGTCAAAAAAGTATGTTAAAGTATGTATCTAAATAGTCCTTCTTGACTGACACATGCAATAATTACTTTCTTTTTATATCATAAAAGTGATAAGTAGCCTTCTTGATTAGATAAGAAGTGATCATTTGGTGAGATACATTTAATATAAGCATTTATTGTTCCAATAGACCCTAGCTCTATAAGAAAGGACGACAAAGTAAGACGAATCAAGTTGATGAGTCTAGTCAAAGAATTACAATTGTCATATTTGAATATCACTTATATAAAAGCTTGAACCTCACAAAGAAAGGAAAATTGCCAATAAATTTTTTTTCATTCTTTTTAAACTCTATGTAAATCTTTGTACTTAAGTTTTATTACGTCTTATGTATAAGATGAAACTTTCTATTATCTTTACTCAACTTAATTTGTATATTTTAGCTTGAAGCCTAAAAAGGCTTTGTTATTTAAAGTATAATTGATGTTAAATCCTATAAAGACTTTGTTGTTAAAATAATACTTAGGTAGTTTTCTTGAAGAGACAAATCAAAGAAGACTTAGGTTGTGCCAGAAGTGACTTGTTAAAGAATACCTATATCTTTGTGAAAGATAATGGAACTTGGTCAAATTGATCAAGAATTGAACGTAGTCTCGATGATATAGATGAACTAGTATAAAAACACCTTGTGTTCTTCGTTTTAATTCATCTACACTCTTTTGGGTTTATGTAACTACTTCACTATTTCAAAAAAAGTGTTGAATATTTTATAAAACTATTGAACCCTCTTTAAGTATCTTTCTGCTAAGTCAAAAGACAATCCTAGATCCCTTAGATATAAAGGATTTATGATAAGAAACAAAGAAGTTTTTAGAGAAAAGTTTTAAACCATTCAATTAGATGAATGCTCTATATAAGACAAATGCACTAAGACAATTTGTTATCTTGACATAAGTGCCTAGCAAACGAAATACTTCATATATAAGGCATTAACTTTGAATTATTATCATTGATAATTTCTGATAACTAAATCAATCTTTGCATATATTATTCCTTGACATATTGAAGCAAAATAACTTCCTCGGTACCCGTAATGACAAAAGAGAAGGAAGACATGTTTTTCATTAAAAAAAGACAAGTGGATCTCGTGAATCATGGAAATCCTAAAAAAAAGCTTTTTTTAACTGATACACACATGGCTCCACTTGTTTGGTATCTAAAAGGTGATAAGTAACTTCCTTGATAAAAAAAAGAAGTGACAATTTGGTGAAATGCATTTAATGCAAGCAATTAATGCAGCAATGGATACTTCTTTCTACAAGGAACAAAAATTGAAGATAGACAAAGCAAGCCTGTGAAAGATGCTCAATAATTTGCATCATCATCTTCATTGAAGCCTTATAAAAGAAAGTTTGAAATCCAAAAAGAGAAAGAGCACACACATTGTAAAAATTATATTCATTATTTCTATAAAAAATACTATTCATTTAATTGGTTGTATCAGGTCTTGATAGTAAGACGAAACAACATCGTTAGTTTACCCAACTTTAACTTAATGTTATTGCTTTGATCTTGGAGAGGCTAGTTTGTTAAAGAGTACTCCTACGCTTTTCAGCCTAAAGAGGCTTTACAATAAAAGAATACTTGGGTATTTGAAGCCTAGAGAGGCTTTTTGTTAAAGAATAGTTGGGTAGTTGCTGGAAAAGGTAAGCTAAAGAATACTTAGGTTGAGTTACAAGTGAGTGAAATAATACTTGTATCTTTGCAAAGATAGTACAACTTGAACGGGTTTGATTAAGAATTGGATATAGTCTTGGTGGTTGAGACAAACCAATATAGAATACTCTGTGTTCTTTTGATTAACTCCTCGTATGCACTCTTATTGCATTTCATACTACTTCACTAATTCAAAAATAGTGAGTTTTTGGTAGACATTATTTAACCCCTATTCTATTGTCCTTTTTTCTCCATAATTTGGTATTAGAGCTCAACCTTTGATGAGGTTGAACATATAATCGTGTTAAAGGAAAATATTCTAAGATAGGAAGTAGTGTGAAGGATAGCACTTGCCCAAAGGAGTTTTTATTATAAGGTCTCTTACCATCAACAGAGAAGACTACATGTATTGGAAACATAGAATAGGGATGTTCATTAAGTCCACCCAATACCACCTCTAAAATATCATCAAAGTAGTGATGTTCTTATGACTAAACCAAAAAATGAGTATAACACCCCTCAAATTTGATATCTCAACGACTTCACTTCATAATACTTCACATGATGAAAATTCACACAACTCTTTGTTGGTTAAAATCCCATATGGTTAGCCTTTTTCAAAGACATTTGGTCGTCTTTAGGATCAACGACTGTCTCCATAAATTAACACAAGACTTTTAAACGTATTTTGTTTTCACTTACACATTTTTTGCGAAACATTCCAAAAGGTCACCCATCCCTAAATTACTCCAAGTCAAACATGCTTAACTATGGAGTTCTTATGTGAATAGCTACCAAGTAGATACATCTTGTTCATATAGGTAGTACAAATTAATTTCTTTAAATCATCCTTAACTGCACAAAGTCTCACACTTGTACAAATCTTTAGATCCCTCTCATTCTGATGTGTCCGGGTTGTTACAATGAGTACACACAAGAAGATTACAATATTTTTCATCTCAACACAAAATAAAGATACATATTAGCTTGCTCTTTGTCAAGAACAAAATACAACAAACTTTGTAACTATAAATGAAATGTCGAAAGTTATCACAATAATGAAGGAATTGAAGATGTGAGTTGTTATTTATAAAGGAGAACCAAACAACTGATGAGATGTTTGGAAGATTTCAAGCCAATGTTCAATGAGTTAAAATCCTAAGAACTGAGTTTTCCAAAAACTTAGATCAACCTGAATATCCTAGATATCCTTATTAAGGTTTGGGAGCCTAAGGTCCCTGCCATCTCAAAGGCACATGACCTTAAGACTCTGATGTTATATGAACTCTTAAGAGCACTAACAGTTCATGAAGTTTTACTTGCGCCACATGCATATATATCTAGATGAGTTTGTGTCCATTGCATCTCGCGTATGAATTGTGATTGATTTTCTACTTGATATGCCTTATGTTACTTGTTTATACCAATGTTATGATGAATATATGGGCTATTGCTCCGGTGCCCTCTTATTTGAAGGGGTTTTGGTGCCCCTCAGTATAAAAGTTGAGTTTTTAGGGGCAATAAGGTAAATTGATCAATTTATCAATTTACCTTATTGCCCCTAAAAACCCAACTTTTGTACTGAGGGGCACCAAAACCCCTTCAAATAAGAGGGCACCGGAGCATTCCCCGAATATATGCTTGACATTATTTGTATTTATTACATGTTTCATTTAAGTGTGTGGCTCCAACCTTATTTCACATCAAAAGTCAAAGTGAAATGCACCTCACTCTCTTGTTTGCCTTGTTTCTCCTTAATTAATGTATGTTTTGTAGGTGAGAATAATCAAGATAATGATGTTGGTGATGAGGCTTACACCTTAGCTTGTCTATAGGTGAAGCTTTGATAAAATGTGACACCGGAGTTATCTATTTAAGATTTGTTACATGTCATTCTTAGTTATTTTATCTTGAGTTAGGATATTTGTTAGTTGTTAGATTTATGCAATGATGTTGAATGGCCACTTTGGTCTAGCTATTTTACTTCTACATTTTCTTTTTGAAACTTGCCTTGTTTTAAAACAAATGTCAAATCTCTATTCTTAGAGATATTTTGCAAACTGATCCTTCAAATTATAACTCAAATTTTTATTCAAATTATTGATATTATTTATGAATATTAAAATGCAAAGTAAAAGATATAACACTCCACAAATATATGTTTGCAAACATCAATTTAACACAGTTAGGGGTCACTAACGCAAAAGTAAACCCCAAATAACAAACAAATAGAACTCAAAGATTACAAAGAAGTCGTCTAAAATATTCATTTTGCTCAAATAGTTAAGCAGAGATCTTGATAAACTTAGCCAAGTCCTTGGGATAAGAGTATGAGAAGTTGGGAACACGATATTCTGGATTCATTCTCTCCAACCTACAAAATAAACAACATAGTGAATTCGTAAAGCAAACTTTCAAATTAGTACTTAAAAAAACTTCCAAATGAAAAAGAAAAAGAAAACATAACAAATAGTAATTCTTTATCGAAACACTATTAAAAAGAGTAAAGTGATCTAAGGTAACAATTATTATATGAATGATAAAAGAATATCTTTTACTAATGGTTTACTAAAGAATATTTTCTGTACATCGCCACTGTAAAATTCTAGCCAGCATAAATTCATAGTATATGACTGATTACTATAAAGTAGGATTAATGTGGTTTAAGTTAAGGAAAGAAAAAATGACACATACTAACCTGTAATTAAGGAGAAAATAATGTAGAAATACAGAAGTTTGGAGATTGGATATGTCTTTTCCAGGACAAAGCCTGCTTCCTGCTCCAAAGGGAAGGAAGGTTCCCGCTTTAGCATTGTAATCCTGCATGCAGTGACATGCACACGCAAAAGATGTTTGTATAAATGATCCAAAATATTCCAAAATAAGTAGGTTTTATACAATATATATCAAACTTACATCCCATCTTGATGGATTAAATTCTTTTGGATTTGGGTAATATTCAGGATTCATATGAATAGCTCTTGACCAAACTAGAACTTTCCATCCCTTCGGTATGATATAACCTGAAAATAATGAGTGAATGACATATAAGTTTTTATTCCCCTTTAATAACAAAAGGCAACTAGAAATAGAGAATTTATATATACTATACTATATGTTTATGAATAATAATAATAATAATAATAATAATAATAATAATAATAATAATAATAATAACATAAACAACCATTAATATTGACGTCGGTAGTTGCCTCTCGAAAAACTGAAAATGCGATATTAGTAAGTCGCAACGCTTCATTAATTACCTGTAACAAGACACAACAAGATTCAATGTCTCCTCATTTATTTGATATTTTTTTTTTTGAAAATGCTTGAGATTAAGTCTTCTTTTAAATGTAAAATGCATGCAATAAATATGTCATTTTAATAATTTACTTACTTGTGAAAGATAAACCATTTGTTTAACTTCGCTATGACTTAGATGTTTCTGCGATGACGGTCTTGCTTTCACGATTTCTTCTTGCTCTTTCTACAAGATATAAACAATATATATTAACTAAAATACATGAACAAATATATATAGATTACTTATCATATTTATTTTCTATAAACTTGGATTCTGTAAATATAAAGCACAAGATTCTGTTAAAAAGCACAGAATTGAGAATCGTCTTATAGGAACATACATTGTAACTATATGTGTAAGAGAGAGTTTAGATATGTTAAAATGTTACATATATATATAGTCTCAATTGATATTGCGTGTATATAAAATGCATGTAACATAAATTATGGGATATATATATATATATATATATAAACTGAAAACACGCATTAAATTAATTTTTTTTTTTTACAACAAAACACACATTAAGTTCAACATGCATAGAAAGTAGGTGTATATACAACATCATAATTAAGAAATATCATTAAACAAAAAATATTTGAGATTTTTTAGACAGAAAATTTATTTGAGTTTTGAAGTATTATAGTATAATTAATTGATTTTGATCCTATTTTGCAAATATAACTAATTATATAACTATAACTTTAAATGCATTTTACGTTCTCGTAAATATAGAGAATTTTGTTTCTCGTTTTTGCCTTATATGTTTTCGCAACATGTTTCAATGTCAATTGGTCTGGCCCTGTTCAAATTTTTTTTTTATATTTTCAACTACCTTGAGAATTAAAAACAAAATTTACAATATTCATAGAATTAAAATATAAAATTCAATATCATTTGCAGGGACATAAAAACAAATGATTGTAAGGACATGAAACATGTTATTAACGGCAGATATCACGATGTGGGAGGCATCCACTTATATGAAAGTGGCTGCTACACATTTATAATTAATTACAAATTGACCTTATAATTATATTATAAATATTTTCGTCACCAAATTATTTTAATCTGATTATTTTTTATTTAAATTAGATATTTTTAATATTATTCTTTAAATTATTGACTATAAATTCAAATTTTAGACTATATATATTTAATTATATTTATTATGGATTTTAATTGTAATATAATTTAAACAGTAAAAATACTTTTAAAATTTTCATTATATAAAAGTAAATTTGTGTTATTTAATATATAATCCAAGTTTTAAAAGCATGATATTAAAGATTAGGGAATTACTATATATATATATATATATATATATATATACAACTTAAAATTTCTATATCCTTACTTTTCACGACAAAGAACAAAATTAAGACGACAAACATTTTTGAGATTAAAAACCAAAATTTATTTTATGAAAACTAAAACTCAAAATCGTTATACTCAGGCTATAGCTCATTTATGTCATAATGATATAACAATATTTCAGGTGGCATACACTTCAAGAAATTTTTTGTGTGCTTTAAATTTTTTTAAAAATGATTAGTCTACTTGCACTCTATTTTAGCTTTATTTACCTTTGCTTTTTTGAACACTTCGGGATGCTGTGTAAGATACATAAGTGACCACATCAAACCAGTTGCTGTGCTTTCATGACCAGCAAATATAAGCCCTATGAATACATCAGCAATATCTTCATCCTTTAATTTGTCCCCATTCTCTCTTTCATGTTCCAAAAGAATATCAATAAGATCTTTTTTATCCTCGAGTTGACCATTTTTTGTCATCAACCTCCTTTCACCCACAATAGATATAACTAGTTCGAACAGCTTCTTGCGTACCTATAAGATATATACACATGCAATAAAAACCATATAAATGTGAATTTAGAATCCGAATAAACCCCCTTAGAAGTAAGAGAAACGATAACTATACTAGCTTTAATACTGTTTTGTTAATATTTTATTATTATTATTAGTTGAGAATGACAAATTTCGATGATTTTAACATTAAAAAAAAAGATTGATTGATCAAATCAAATGTGAAATCCTAAAAATATTTATTTTAAATAAATTTCACACAATAATTTAAAAAAAATGTTATAAAGAAAGTGTTAGAGACAATGGTACCAACATTTCTTAATTGAAGTTAATAAGAATAACAAGAAAAGAGAAGGAAAAGTGAATAACCTGGAGTGCTCTATGGTATGTAAAACCAGGCAAGTTAACGCCGATAGAAAATAAGGGATTACAATCTGAAAATTCCCTAAATAAACCTTTTATTTTTGCAACGATGGGTTGATTGTGAGATCCCAAGAAGACGTGGGTGATGACTTTGAAGGGAATCTTCTCCAACTCCGTGAAAACCTCAACAGGGTGCTTCATGCTAGATAATTCTTCTAATGAATCAACCACTATCTCTTCAATACGTGCTAAGTACAGTGCTAACATATTGTGACCCAAAATGGGAGCAGAAATTACACGTCGTATACGCTTGTGTTCAGCACTAGAGACTTCAGTGAAGGCCTTACTTCCAAATAATTCAGAAATGGATTTTGGATACGCCACTTTAAAGTTCTCATCATCACTCAGTACTCGCCTACACATCTCAGGAGTACAAACAATCATGCTTGGTTTTCCAAACAAATGTGTCTTGTAGATACCACTTCGTCCATATCTAAATCATACATAACAAAGTCAAATGAGACTAACCAATTATATATGCATGGAAGTGTAAGAATTAATGCTGGTGATACTTTCTCTAACTTTGTTTTCTCCATACTCATTATCTATCAAAATTCATTAAAAAAATATCACAAATTTTGTTCATATCGCATCTCATGTTGAGTTTTTGATTTAATGATACGAACTACTAAAATTTGTGATTTGGGATTTGTAACCAATTACAAATACCATAGAATATAAGAAAAGGAGTATTATAGAGAATGGTTAACATTTTTGTTATAATAATGACGGTGATGAATATGATAATAAGAAGGGAAAAAAACACAGAAAAGGAAAGATTTCAAACTTGGACACTAATTTGTTGATGAATGAATCAAGTTGGCCTGAGGATAAGTCTTTGATGAAGGGTATTATATTGCCAATAAGAGGCCATCCCATATCACCAGGGGGCAATAGGGTTTTTTTGTTTCCTACTTTCAGATCATAATACCACCCATTCAACCTCCTCACAAATTTGTTTACCAAAACGTAAGAAGCCAACAAAGTAGCAACGCTCATCCAAACCCAATGTAATTCCATTTTTCTGAATGGCTCAAGTAGCTGATAGATTAGTTCCGCTATATATATATATATATATATATATTAGCTTGTTATAGTTGCAGGAATCATATTGACTTTGGAATTTGTCATCATGTGCACGCTGTAGAAAGATTCACATACAAAAAAACATTATGAAAATTTAAATACTCTCTGATTCATTTTATTTGAGGTTTAGAACTAGTTTGGTAATAGAATATAATATAAGAGTAGAATATAATAATTACAAGAGTCGAATAAAAAATAATTTATTAACATGTCTGGTATACATTATAATAACAAACACTATAACATTTTTACAATATATGCTTTGTATTTAATATATACTAATAAAATATTATATGAATTATATTCAAATAACTATATTTTTTCATTAAAATCATATAATTTTTTTAAAAAATAAGTTTTAATTTAATTTTCTAAAAACATTATAATAAAAATATATAATTTTAGCTATATAATACAAAATTGTTTATAACATTATTTACTTAAATTAAAGTCATATATATATATA